CCTGGATTTGGGTCCCTAACCCCGTCGTAAGTCGTGGGTTTACTGTAGCCTCTTCCTTTTGTTTTTCTTCTTTTTGATGTCTTTCCATCCTTTTTCTTTCTCATTTTCTTGATCTTGCTTTTTATTTTCTGCTTCATCTTGTGTTTCTTGCTCTGAGTTATCTTATGGTTCTCCTTGACCTGTTCCTTCTTGTTCTTGAAGGTTTTCAGGTTCGGAATGGTCTTTGTTGCCTAATTTCCTTCACAAGAGGAGTACATCCTTGTAGGAGAGGTTCTTGTTGTGCTTCACCTTCACTCTTCCCTCCATTTGGGACCCTCCTGGTCAGAGGATTAGTGAGGACCACCACAGGCAGTGCATTTCTTGTTCTTGATCTTACAGTCATCATGCTGGTGTCCAGAAGACACACATCTGTAGCACACATCTTCTGGGGCCTTGCATTTTTTGGGTGGGTGACTGTACCGCTGACACTTGAAGCATCTGGTCTGTCATGGCACGTAAGATCTCACTCAGACAGTGTCCCATCCCAGTGTGACTGTCTCTGGAAGTTTATGGAAAAATCCAACTAGAACCGAGGTGGATTTTCTGTTGGGTCTCTTAATTTTTCTCTGCACGTCTATTTCTTCTTCTATGAGTTCTTTAATGTCATTCTTGTTCATATGTTATACTTTGGCATGGGAAATAGCTCCCCATACCTTAACGGGGCCGTCATTGATGACATTAATCGTTGCTCAGTTGTTCAGCCTGTCCCCAGTCACCGAAGGTGAGAGAGGCTGAGGGCTGTGTGGCACTTCTAAGAAGTCAGCAGTGACTGAGAGGCATAACCCTCTCACATAACCTCCAGTGTGACCAGCCAGGAACAGTAGCCACTTCCTTTTTTATCATGACCCAGTTTGTCTCCAGCAAAGTAAAGGAATACAGATGTAAACCTTCCTTATTTCTCTCTCTGGTGTTATCTCTATCTATACAGTACAGGCACCATCTACTTGTAGAGGTTTTCTATAAGTAGATGTTGTTGTTTCTTCTCTAAAACACTGTCTGCTGTACCCGAGACTCCAGTATTGGTGGGACTGTGTTGGCTGATGCATGGCTGCGTGCTCATGATCACATTTGTAAATAACTGATGGTCTTTGAATTCATATGGAAACAAGACTTTTATCAACAAAGTCATTTCCTAAGTTTTGAATATATTCTATCTTAATATGCTGTACCAAATTTTGGAGAGTGAAAATGTTTTTATATTCCTGGGAACTGCCATAGGGCGGATACCCCAACCAATGAATTGTTCCAATGATTTAGATTGGAAACCTGATCCACCAGGACTGCCTTTGGATCTGTTGGCATAAACACAAAATGCTCCAATACTTAACAGTGACTGAAACAACTGTAAGACATTCTAATGTTCATGGTTTTCATAGTGAAGCTAATTTACATCATCAACTGTACTACTATATTTTAGATAACTGCCTTGGTGAACTCAATGCTAGGTTTGGTGAGCATAATATTAGACTACTTACAGTCATTTCTAGTCGTTGGCCAGAATCCAAGAATTGTTTATTACTTCCGGAAAATCTTGTCCCATAGGCTTTAACTCATAGGTGTCGACACTGAGTCGTCTCTTCTGGTAAGTGAATGTCATGTTGCTAAGTGACTTATTGAAGAGTTTTATTGCCCAGTTCTCAAAAACATTGGTGAAAATTTCAAGATATCATATCCTTTCTGAAATGGACTAACTCATATACACAAGCTTTATGCAGCTGCCCTCACATTTGGTACAAGCACTGCAATATGTGAACACTCCTTCTCAACTGTCACGTGCTTACACCGTATAGGCGTTCAGTGACTCATCGTAGAAAAAGTAACCTGGTCTTGACTGTATTTTGGGCAGACCTTACACAGAAATTGAACTTGGAGGAAAAAGCAGGAAAATTAAATTCTATTGAGTTAATTATCAATATCACATAACGAGTACAGTACTGTGTATATAGACGTTATTATTGGAAGGAATATTTTCTCATTATTTCTGTTGTCAATTTTTTTATAAACATAATCAGTTTTCATTATTATCTTGTTGGTTATTTGAGAAAAACTAATTTACATTCAGTAGTTCGTTGCTGTACTTCAGATTATGTAATTCTTTCCTGTCTATGTTAAATACTTAAACATCATTACATATATGTGTGTCTAGTTTAATAATTTATGAGTTCATATACAGTATACATAAAATGTTGTGAGCTGACTCATTAGTTCTCATAAATAAAGTTAGTTTTCTGTTGTATAATTGGTTTTATTTCCAAATGGTTTCATTATAGACATTACAACTAATAATGTCATATATGGCAGAGAAGTTAATAAATAATCATGGCCCTCTTGGTCGTTGAACAGGTCCCCCCACTCGGCTATAAATCTGACAATGGGTCTTACAGATAATTTACGATTTGATAAACAGCAACACCAAGAAGAAGTCATAACTAGGGAGGGAAAATAAAATATAAGAACATAAGTATCACTCATTAACCAATACTACTCAAAAGAAATTGGAAATGTAATTAAACTCATATTATGGGATTTGATTCCAACAATATAATTCTCATAATTTATAATGTGCATAGAATAGGTTTAAGATCTTACTTAACCAAACCAAAAATAAATAAGGGATTTGTGGAGATAATAGACTCATGAATCTGGATAGTAAAGCCTATAAGAAAAAAGAGTAATCATTTTATATGTATGGTAATAAAACCCCCAATATGAGGCTCTGTCATTTATTGACAAGCTAAGTATAGTATTACCGAATTCAGTGTTTATTGGTTTAAGAGCGGACGACAACACGGGCTGCCACGTCATATATTTTGGTAGATTGTTTACTGTAAATAGTTAATTTCTCTGTGTCAAAGCACGTGGAGACATCATTTTAGTGTCACGTAATCAGTTCTTCACTGTGCTTTACCTCATACTCTCCGTCATCTTTCATGCCCTGCCCATTACAGGTGATTTATGTTCATAGGGAAGAGATAAAAGAAAAACTGGTACTTATAATTAAAATAAAAAGTTGTGTTAATTTTTATTAGTTAATATGATATTATGTCATTTGTTGCCACCCAAATTTTTTGATAATTTTATGGTTACAATCAGTAGTTTAGATCATTCTAAAACACTTTTTTAATATGGCATTTCTGTCACAAATTAAGTACTGTATAAGTGAGATATTTTACATTTTAGTAGCTGGTTTGTTAACCAATCAGATCTTGGTATAGTCCATGGGTTAGGTTAGGTTTGATTAGGTTAGGTTATATATTCTATACTGGTGCATTCAGTACGGTATACATATATACTAATACAAATTTATGACATCCACTGTACACGCTTGTCCTATAAGTTCGTAGGAAATGTCAAATTTTCCCCTAAAATCATAACTTTTTAATTATAAATTTGTACCAAAAAATTGCAAACAATACAATCAAATCTACATAACATTTTACATCCATCAAGCATAATTTCAACTTCCAAATGCTTGGTGGTAACAAGTGAAATTTTACCATAAATACTACATCATCCACAGAACAACTGTGGATAATATGAATCAAATATAAACACAGTACTCTGGTACTAAGTGACTCCACCACTACTACCCAATAATGGCTCAGTACAAGTTATGAAGGTGTTATTTGAATGTAGTGGCTGGGCAAATAACCAAAGGGTATTTGAACGTTAGCTGCGGAGATTTTGTATGATTTTACTACGATTTTAATGGGATTGTGGACAGGATGGCTGTGGGCATTATTACACTTGTCATTACATAATAACTTAAATGTTAAATGCTTAATCATTATCTCCCTTATGATACTCCAAGATGTCACACTTCTCTTATGGACATATAATGATGTAGGTTGGATTGGGTTAGGTTAGCTTGGGTTAGGTTAAATGAGATAAAAATTTTTTAGTCTATACCTGATACCTAAACTGTATCATAACCGTGAAACATTGAGCTGTTGGTTTTCTTAATAAATTTATTTATAATATAATCATGTTTTATCTTCCTAATCATTAATTTTACATGTTCCTATCTCTACTTGGTCGATTTTGTTACAATAGTTTAAAGTTATCAATAAAATAATATGTAGTATTTTCTGTGGCCAGAAGAACTTTGTTTTATTTTAGAACCTTCAAGATATTATATTATATTTATAATTTCTTAGTTATTTAAGTTATATTGGTAATATTAGTAAATTGAAACAAATTTATACAGTAAAATCATTCATAAATATATTGAATAATAATTATTCACATAATTCATATACAATAATATGATATATAACTGAGGATAAAATAGTCATATAACCCCTGCCTACCTGTTGCTCCTGCCACCACACACAGCAAGTCTCTTACCTTGTCCAAAATGTCCTCACAACTATTATAAGGCTCTCTCTCTCTTACAACACCATAATCCCTGCACACTTATCATTCATATTCAAACACAAATGAGTCCTGACAATACAATATTACAGCAATACAAACCAATTTTCCTCAAAATATTTTTTGCTGCTGTGTTTACATGGAGGAGGGTATGGCACACCACACCCTTATTCCCAACCACACCCTCTTCCTCCCATCCACACTCTCTTCTCCCCATCCACACACTCTTCTCCCCATCCACACACTCTTCTCCCCATCCACACACTCTTCTTCCCATCCACAAACACTACCTTCCATCGACAAACCTTTCCTTCCATCCACACACCCAAAAGGTTGGGTGGGTGGGAAGGGAGGTGGGATGGGTAGGTAGGTGAGTTGGGTTGGAGGGGAGGTGGTGTAGGAGGGGGGTTGGGTGGGAGAAGAGGTGCGATGGGAGGGAGGTGGGGTGGGAGGGAGGGTTGGGGTGTTTGGGAGGGAGTGTTGGGTATAAGGAAAGGTGTGAGAGAGGGTGAGTGTATGGATGGGAGTGAGGGTGTGTGGGGGAGGCCCTCCCATACACACCCTCACTCCCATCCATACACTCACCCTCTCTCACACCTTTAATGTGTGTGGATGGGACTAAGGTTTTCTCATTTCTTTCAGATTGTGTGCCTCCGAGGTGAACGTCTGACTGAAGTGAAGGCGTGGCTGACTGTGGACCTACAAGGTGCTTCTTGGAGGTAATAAAGGTAAAATTTATTTTGTTATAGTTGATAGTACTAACAGCACCGTAGTTAGACGTAGAATGCACAGTAGTAACTCCGCCTTGTTCAGCCGAACATGCCGGTCCCAAGCCCGGATAAAGGAGGAGGGCTACTGCAGTGTTGTATCTACCATTGCCATCTAACAAACACTTACAATATAAATTCTTCTGAAAAAAGGTAATATCTTCTGTCAGCAACAGAGAAAAAAGAAATTACATATGTACTGTACATTGTGTACTATGATTTTATATCTTTGTAGATAGGTAATAAAAAATAAAGAATTGAATATACAGTATATTTTTTATTTTCATATGTATACAATAACAGTCCAGAAGTTGATACAGAAATGCAAAATATCCTTGGTCATATAGCCTCATTTTATACCTGCATTGTCTAGGTACAGTATATATTAATTTACTGGCCATTCCTGCAGTCTTATGTTCTCTTAAACCTACATTACCAAATATTAGCACAGAAAAAACTTGGAATGATTGGCAACATCACTAGATATCTTTCTCCCGTGTCCCGTGAAATCACATTACAGTACCACTACCATTATTTTTTCTCGGCAGATACATCAGTGATGGTGAGGCCGTCACATTACCAGCGGTTGTGGATTTCTCAATTCAACCTTTATATTGCAGACTCCACATAAGGTGAGTTTATTTCACTAGACCTCAAGGTTTTATAAAGTATCTTGTCAGGTTTTGGTCCTACACAAAATTTAGCTTTAGATAATAATGGAAGTCTTGTACTTTGTGAATAATTTTGGCCAGGCACAGTACATATATATTTCTAAATTTACCCAAGTTACCAAGTCTTTAGGGGGAGGGGGGTTCATAAGTTGTTTATTACAATTTTACAAGATTTTTTCTTCTATATTTTCAGGTAAAACACTTCCATTCAGCAATTGGTGTGCAGTGTCCAGATTGTCAACATTTAGTAAGTAAAATTCTTACTGTACTTTACTTCCATTTACTGTATATATACAATACTTTCAAATTAATAGTATGTATGCAATCAAAAATGTTCCTTACGGTCATGGCCGATGAATTTCAAAATGAACACGAGACGTCCGTTCTCTCGGTAAGGTTGTCAAAATCCTTTGTCCGAGGCGTCGGTGACTCAAATGCATTATTTGTGCCATCTGTGGGTATCTAGTAGTTTTGATTGCATGTACCCAATAGGGCATCACATGGGCATTAGTTTGTAACAGTTGTACATACAACGAATGGCACTTTGATGTCAATTGGTGATAATTATATGTAATTAATGTATATATCATGTTCTAAGTTACCCAGAAGCCATCATGTGGGTGTATCCAAGTTGATCACTTTAGTTCATGTTTCAGGTATAGTTTACAGTTCTACTGTACTTGTGGTTTATTTAGATCATTATCATTCAACTTCGGAATATGAAACGTAAAGTTCATTCAATATTTATTTATTTTGTTATACACAGACATTGTAGGAGTACAAACCATTACAAACACCTCCCAGTGCAAGTGCCTCTACCAGTGCAAGTGCCTCTACCAGTGCAAGTGCCTCTACCAAACGGTACAAACGCCTCCCCCGGTACAAACGCCTCCCCCGGTACAAACGCCTCCCCCGGTACAAACGCCTCCCCCGGTACAAACGCCTCCCCCTGGTACAAACGCCATCCCTCAACAAGCCACCAGAGGCCTTCCCACACTGAACAACAATTACATATTACACTTAATTTTACAAACCACTAAGAGAAATGGATCCGTGCGAGATATTCAAACCTCTCACAATCCGTTTGATTGATGTCCGTGTATCTCGTTGTACACCTTGCTGATACTTCACCTGTGGACGAAAAATATACAGTATTATAAAATGGAAATTTTTTGCAACCACAACAAAACTGTGACTACCACTGTAGTTAATAATGCTACTGTACATAATGTATCTTGTTATTTTTAATACTTTGTGTGGCTTTAATCAAGGTCCACTCCTACAGTCTTGAATGCATTAGTACAGTACTTTAAGTATTTTCTCAAGTTTTGCTAAATTATAACAAAAATATTTCCGTAATACTTAACTTTCACAGTACACTATTCTTACAGTAGTGTACAGAACACCAATTCTGTTCTTTCTTAGTAAGGTGGTAGTCCTCAAGGTGTGGGATGCTAGACAGTCGTGGTCACCTTGTTGTGTCTGGTCCATCTATCTTGTACACCAACCACCTGCAACATGATTATATTTGTTTTTAGATACTCTACATCTGAATTAATTAAGCTATTTTATATCACAACCAATACACAATATTGAGGTTAACTTGTACTGTATGTTCTTAAATGCACTATTTTAAGTAATATATCAAGTTTTGCTAAATTATATAAAAAAGGTTTCAGTAATACTTAACTTTTACATTACAGTACACTATTCTTAACAGTAGTGTACAGAACACCAATTCTGTTCTTTCTTAGTAAGGTGGTAGTCCTCAAGGTGTGGGATGCTAGACAGTCGTGGTCACCTTGTTGTGTCTGGTCCATCTATCTTGTACACCAACCACCTGCAACATGATTATATTTGTTTTTAGATACTCTACATCTGAATTAATTAAGCTATTTTATATCAACCAATACACAATATTGAGGTTAACTTGTACTGTATGTTCTTAAATGCACTATTTTAAGTAATATATCAAGTTTTGCTAAATTATATAAAAAAGGTTTCAGTAATACTTAACTTTTACATTACAGTACACTATTCTTAACAGTAGTGTACAGAACACCAATTCTGTTCTTTCTTAGTAAGGTGGTAGTCCTCAAGGTGTGGGATGCTGGACAGTAGTGGTCACCTTGTTGTGTCTGGTCCATCTATCTTGTACACCAACCACCTGCAACATGATTATATTTGTTTTTAGATACTCTACATCTGAATTAATTAAGCTATTTTATATCACAACCAATACACAATATTGAGGTTAACTTGTACTGTATGTTCTTAAATGCACTATTTTAAGTAATATATCAAGTTTTGCTAAATTATATAAAAAAGGTTTCAGTAATACTTAACTTTTACATTACAGTACACTATTCTTAACAGTAGTGTACAGAACACCAATTCTGTTCTTTCTTAGTAAGGTGGTAGTCCTCAAGGTGTGGGATGCTGGACAGTAGTGGTCACCTTGTTGTGTCTGGTCCATCTATCTTGTACACCAACCACCTGCAACATGATTATATTTGTTTTTAGATACTCTACATCTGAATTAATTAAGCTATTTTATATCACAACCAATACACAATATTGAGGTTAACTTGTACTGTATGTTCTTAAATGCACTATTTTAAGTAATATATCAAGTTTTGCTAAATTATATAAAAAAGGTTTCAGTAATACTTAACTTTTACATTACAGTACACTATTCTTAACAGTGGTGTACAGAACACCAATTCTGTTCTTTCTTAGTAAGGTGGTAGTCCTCATGGTGTCGGATGCTAGACAGTTGTGGTCACCTTGTTGTGTCTGGTCCATCTATCTTGTACACCAACCACCTGCAACATGATTATATTTGTTTTTAGATACTCTACATCTGAATTAATTAAGCTATTTTATATCACAACCAATACACAATATTGAGGTTAACTTGTACTGTATGTTCTTAAATGCACTATTTTAAGAAATATATCAAGTTTTGCTAAATTATATAAAAAAGGTTTCACTAATACTTAACTTTTACATTGCAGTACACTATTCTTACAGTAGTGTACAGAACACCAATTCTGTTCTTTCTTAGTAAGGTGGTAGTCCTCAAGGTGTGGGATGCTAGACAGCCGTGGTCACCTTGTTGTGTCTGATCCATCTATCTTGTACACCAACCACCTGCAACATGGTTTGGATTTAGATCAATCTTAATTAGCCTTAATGTATTACTACCAATACACAACATTTACTCCAGAATTTCTTGGAATCTAAACTTGCATTCTTATATATATGTGATATATCCATACACTCAAACACCCTCCTATATCACCTTACACAGGAGCATTGTCCTTCTCCCTTTTGGCTGCAGCAGTCTTCATTTAGGCATCATCCCCCACATGCCTTCATAGTACATGCTATTTTTTGCATCACATTTTTAACGTGCACTCCATTCACCATTGCTTGAGCACACCACCATCCATGCATGAGCGCCCCCACTGTACGAGCGCCCGTCCACTATACGAGGCCCCCACTGTACGAGGCACCCACCCCCACTGTACGAGCGCCCGTCCACTATACGAGGCCCCCACCCCCACTGTACGAGGCCCCCCCCCCATTGTACGAGCGCCCCTGCACTGTACGAGCGCCCCTCCACCGCCCAATGCTCCTCCTTTCCAACCCTTCACACAAAGTAAGTCCCTCCTCTTGAGTCTTACTTCCATTAGTTTTTGGGGATGGCCATACTAAGGTACATAAGTAATTTACCTAAGAAGGCTTAAGTAACATGCTGGGTGTTACATCTTGCTCAAGGTGTCGGTCACTTCCTCTACATTGGCATTCACGTACGTCAGCTGTCACCTGCAACATGTTTAAAGTTGTAATTTATGTACAATGAAGATTAAACATACAATTTCCATCTACCACCAGACTACATGTACTTATACTATCCCCAATTGTTTATTTTAATACCTTATCTACAAAAGATCTTATTTTAAGTTGCATTAGTGTTTTAGTTTTCTTGATACCTCAACAACTAACATTTACCACAACAATAGTATAACCAATCATAACAAGCCTTCATCACCAATACTGCTACACTACTAAATCTCTCCACACTGCTTCATACACAACAGTTTACCACTGTTCACTTACTGAATCCTCCCTCCCTTCCTCCCACCCCTCAAGCCCCCTTAGGTATTCCCCTTGACAACTTGGTCACATTTAGCTTGAATGAAAAACTTAACCAACACACCTGCTCACCCCATATGCCAACACACAAGCCATATTGTCCCCCCCCCACCCTAATTACAACAAGCCACACCCACACAATGTTTAATGATTTCACAAGTCCCACAAGCTTCCCTTGCCTAAATAAAACTCCGTAAGTTGACTTTACCTGTTCTGGCATTTTAAGTTATTTCTCCTTAGGTTCAGTATGATGTTACTTCTGGCCAGCTTAACCTGAGGAGAAAGTCAGTACAGTTCACGATTAGATTTTGAAAAGGAAACTGCAAAGTACGCAAGCTATTGATTTTTAATAATTTAAACAAGTGAAATTTTTTCTAGCTTAACTTTCTGAATTCATGATCAGTTAACTTGTGGCAAATTTTAAGTTACATTCTTTAATATATTTGTTATCCAATATATAAACTATATAATAGGTAACTTAATATTAATTTGGGTTAGTCTTGATTAGTTACATTTAATCTGTTAGGCTGATTAGGTTAGTTAATTTGTTAGTTAAAACCCACCTACTAACAACCAGCTTTACTTACTATTAATCACATTACTACTACGTACTAATGCTCACTAATACTGTAACTAAATGGCATTTAGTCCTGTACATTTTTATAGCACTTTATTAAGCTTTCCCAAATCTCTACAGCTAATCTTAATTTGACTCCCAGCTCAGTTTATCTAGACAGTCCAAACAGCTCTCCAGAGCCCATTGTAAAATTGCAGTTTCGTCGAATATGCCCTCGTAGTTTAGAAATTCGTTTATCCTGTGTATTTTGGGTCGATTCAATGAAATGTGGCCTTAATTTCCAGGGGAAAGCACCCTCTTTAGAATTATATCCCCCCCCCCAAAAAAAAAGCATGGAAATCTTTAAAACTCCTTTCTGACATTCTTTGCTCCCTGGTTAAAATGGTGTTAGAAATACTCCAATAAGGAGATCTAAAGGTTGGGGATGGTTAAAAGTCAGGCGTGTACTGGCCGAAACTGCAATAATACCGAGCCCTCCAACACACACACATTCCTCCAACGCGCACACACACAGTCCTCCAACACACACACACAGTCCTCCAACACACACACACAGTCCTCCAACACACACACACAGTCCTCCAACACACACACACCCCCACCAACCCCCACACACACAGTCCTCCAACACACACACAC